CCAGCTTTACCTTTTAGCCTAAGTTAGACCCCTCCCCTGAAATCCAGCCTGGAATATTCACTGCTGACTGGTGCTCATGCACTGGGTGCTGAAAGGGTATTTTAGGAGTGGCTTGGCCCACAAGGCTGAAGAGATTGGTGACACGTGAGAAGACGAAACAGATGTGGTGGCTTCAGTCTGCCATCCAGTCTGCTTGGGATGCTGAGGCGGGAGGCTCACAAACTCAAGACCCGCCTGACTGCACAGTGAGTTCAAGGCCAGCCCAGGCAGTTTAACAAGACCCCGACTCACAGAGAGAGCTGGGCATGTAGCTCAGTGGTAGAGCATTTGCACAGCATGCTGGAGGCTGAGGGTTTAATCCCAGATACCACGCACCAATTAATTGTAAGTTACCATAGGAACCAGCAAAGGACTAACCACATACGAGCATGCAAAATGCGGGCACGAAAGTCCATAGTATCTCTATGCATAGTGGACAGGAGGCAGACGACTCAGGGAAACAGGGGACTGGATAAACAGATGTGGTACAGCCATACAGTAGACTATTAGTCAGCCTTGGAGAGGAGTCACACTGATAATGACGAATGCCACAGCGTAGACGACCCTGGAGGACGTTGTGCTAAGTGAAAGTAGCCATAAAACATAAACCGTGACCCGGGATATGAACTCACTTATATGAAATACCCACATCAGTCAAACCCATGCAGACAGAAATCCTGTTGCTCGTATCGCGTAGCTGGAAGGAAGGCCATGGGAGGGATGGCTTCACACACAGGGGGCTGCCTTTAGCACTGATGAGAACGATCTGGAACTGGAGCAGGCAAGATGATTCGGTGGGCAGAGGTGTTTGCTGCTAAAGCCTGACAACCTCAACTGGACCCCCTGGGTTCCAGATGGCAGAGGGTGAAAGAGACTCTCCAAAGCTGTTGCTCTCCGACCTCTGTATGAGAACCATCGTGCGTGCGTGCGTGTGTGTGTGTGTGTGTGTGTGTGTGTGTATGTGTGCGTGTGTGTATGTGTGTGCGTGTGTGTGTGTGTGTGCGTGTGTGTGTGTGTGTGTGTGTGCGCACACACACGCACGCACACAATTAAAATAAAAGAACGTTCTGGAACTAGATAAGAGATCATCACACAACATAGGGGATATGCCAAACATCATTGGGTTGTATATTTTAATTTAAAGTGGCTAAATGTAAATTTCATGTGGCTTTTTTTATTTTAAATTAAATATTTCCAGACTGATCCGTGTCCTCTCCCTCCCTCCTCTCCTCCCAGTCCCTCCCACCATCCTCCTCTTTTTCTAACCCCTCACCCGCTCCTCTGTTTCTCTTCAGAAAAGGGCAGACCTCCCATGTATATCAGCGGGTTGTGGTATATCACGTTGCCGTGAGACTGGGCATCTCACTCCTACTGAGGCTGGATAAGGCAACCCCCTAGGAGGAAGGGTCCCGAAACCAGGCAACAAAGGCAGAGACAGCCCCTGTTCTTACTGTTCATCCCACAAGACGACCAAGTCACACAACTGTAACGTATGTGCAGAGGGCCCAGCTCGGGCCCACGCAAACTCTCTGTTGTCGGTCCGTCTTCGTGAGCCCCTAGGAACCCAGATTAGTTGATTCTGTGGGTTTTCTCCTGGTGTCCTTGGCCCCTCTGGTTCCCACAATCCTTCCTCCCCCTCTCCCACGGGATTCCTGGAGGTCTGCCTAGTGTTTGGCTGTGGGTCTCTGCATCTGTTCCCATCATTTTTTTCCTGAGTGTTTTTGTTATTTTACTTATTTATTTTGAGACAGTATCTCAATATCTATAGCCTTGGGTGGCTTGGGACTTACTACGTATGTAGACCAGGCTGGCCTTGAACTCATAGAGGTCTGCCTGCCTCTGCCCCCAAGTGCTGGGATTAAAGGTGTGCATCACTGCATCCAACCAAGTCTTACCACAATTCTTTTAAAAATAGAGGCAGGCATGGTGGCTCCTGCTTCTCATCCCAGTGCTTGGGAGGTAGAGGAAGGAGGGTCAGAGTTCAAAGTCATCCTTAGCTACATGGTGAGTTCAAGCTTAATCATGACTACATGAGACCCTGTTTTTAAGAACAAACAAGCAACAGTGGGCAGATAACATCACCAGCTTCCTTGTTCAGACCAAGTCTTGGCTTCCTGCCTCGCTGAAGCCGATCTTCACTCTACCTGGAGTGCCTGCCCTTCCTTACCCTTTCCTCCAGGCCAGTGGATCTCAACCTTCCTGACACTGCGACCCTTTAACACAGTTCCCCAGGTTGTGGTGACCCCCAACCGTCACATTATTTTAGTCACTACTTCATAACTGTAATTTTGCTGCTGTGATGAGCTGTATGTAAATATCTGTTCTCCAATGGTCTGAGGCGACCCCCGTGAACCCAAAGGGGTTGCGACCCACGGGTTGAGAATCGTTTCTCTAGGCCGTTCTAGGGTCATGCCCAAGAACTCTGCTTCTTTCCCCTTGTTTGGCAGATCTCACCTTGGCAGCCCCCCCCCAACACCACTCATCTATCATCTCAGCAAGCCCCAAAGCAGCCCCAGGCCCCCTGGGGTTCCCTGTCCCGCTGGGAGGCTCTTCTGCATTCCTCACAGGATGCGCGTGTGTGTTGCCTGGCTGTGTACCTTTTTCACGCCTCAACTGGAGCGTCCATGGAGGCGGATGATTTGAGCTACATCTTGCCTGCCTCTCTACAGCACTCAGAATCAGCGTCTGATCCGTGTAAATGCTCAGGAGAACATTTATATCTCGGAAAACGTGGAAGCAAGTATGAGAGGTGGATATTCATATCCCTCCCACCACCACCCCACCCCCAGATGAGAACAAAATTCCAAGAGGTCCTATCCTGGACTCGGGGCTAGGCTGTGAACCTAGGTCTCCAGGTACCAGTCTAGGTGGCCTTATCCCACACGGAGAGAAGGGAGGTGAGACACCTGGAGAAACAGCCTTTCTGAGAGTGGCAGACGCAGCCATATAGATCCCTTCATCCTCTGAGCACTGACATGTACAATGGGAATCTGGCTGGAAGAATGAAAGCCATCTGGGCTGATGGGGCGGAAGGCAGCTGTCTTCCTTGCTCAAAGGCTGTGAGTTGACAGAGGACAACCATCTGCAGACGCAGCAGCCAGCACAGACACTGGAGACAAGGGGACTGGCTCTCTGTTTCCCTCACACAACACTGCTCAGACTCCTAACAGAGCCGACACATAATACAGACCACGGGATACCTAAGCAGTGGCCCCAAAGCAAGGACACACTCCGTGTCATCATGGTGATGCACCGATACCTCTTTCCAGAGCATGTATGTGAGTGTGAGTGTGCACGCGCGCGCGCACATACACACACATCACTCTGCATGGACATACAAACATGTGCACACATTTTAGCCATCAGTGCCCAAGACTCAGGTGTCAAGGCACACCAGAGACATTACAGTCCAAGATCAGCTCCCTGCATTGTGGCAGGCGGGCTGGCGGGCGGGCGGGCTGGCGGGCGGGCATTCACACTCATCCTAGCTCTGTCATGCAGCCTTATAGGTGCAAGCATACTCTGGCCCAGCTGTGCAGAATCTGCAACCGGCTTCTGAGAACTCCTGTGGCGCCTCCATCCCCGCCTCATCTCCTACTCCGCCCCCAGCCCTGTACCGCCCCCAATCTCTAGTTCTCACTCACAAGTCGATGTCCTCCTCCGCAGCCAGAGGGGGTAGGTGGAAAGGGAGGCCCCAAACCCGGGTTCTTCCTGGTGGTGCACCTTGCTTGGTTCTCAAATCGAGCTCAGGACTTGAGAGACCCAAGGTAGAGAGAACGGGAGCCAGGCTGGGGAGAGGAAGTCCTCCAACAAATCCCAGCCCATCCCTGCCAGCTGGGGGTGGAGAATCTTGGCTAGGACGGCAGAAGTGGGCTGGGCTGGGTGGATCAGAGTGCCTCCTGAGGGTCCTTGCAGAGAACAGCAGCAGGTGGGGGGTGGGGGTGGGAAGCTGGTGAAGGTGCCTGAGAGGCGAGAAAGGGACAGAGGAACAGGATCCAGGAAGAGAGGAACACAGAAGCAAAGAGGAAGACAGAGACAGACAGCCAGGAAAGAGAGAGAACCCCACAGAAGGTGGTACCGGAAGGATGGATAGTGATGGGAAGTAGACACGAGAAAAAAAAAGAGTGGGAGACCCAGAGAGAGGAAGAGAGGCCCTGGGCAGGGCGGGGGGAAAGGAGAGAGTGAGGGAAGTGAGACCCAGAGATGGAGAAGGCACAACCAATAAGGACCAGAGCCTCTAAAATGGCCTGAGTGGAGTCTGCAGGTGGCTGCTGCGGAGGTGGTAGGGGGAGGGCAGATCAGGGCTGGGGTTGGGGAGCAAGTGGAGGGGGTCCGTCTCAGAGATGAGGAGGGCAGTTTGAGGTAGGAATGCGGAAAGCTGGCAAGACTGAAGACCTGTAGAAGAAGCTGAGGGAGGAAAGAGGAGCGGGTCCTGGCTACCGGGAAAGATCCCCCCAAATCCTTGCCAGAGGATAGAGTGGATGCATTCCCAGAACCATATGCAGTACTACTCTGTCTGGGCTGTTTGTGGGGGTCCCTGCCTAGAGACCCCTGTCAGGACCTTTTCAGGACCCCTGCCTCCATCCAGCCGGCTGTTTTCTTTCGTTCTAACCCGACTCCGCCGTCGGGTCCTTGTTTCTGTCCCTCCGCGTCTCTGTGTCTGTCTGAGGCTCCATCCCGGATCTCTGTCTGGGGCCTCCATCCCCAGCCTCCCCCGCCTGGATCGGAATCCTCCCTGTAGTCTCCACACCCAGTTCCTCTGTCAGGGGCTCTCAATCTCTGCATGTCTGTCCCAGGCTTCTTTCCAAGTGTCTGACCCCCACCACGGCATTGTCCCCTCGCCCTTTGAGCCCCCCACTCTTAAGCGGGGTGGGTGGGGGGCGCTGCAGAGGGAGCTGTGTGTTCCCGGCGCAAAATAGACTCCCGTTGCCATGGCAACGCGAGCGCGGCCTCGAGACGCAGGCTTCGGGCTGGGTGTGCGGAGGGGACACCTGGATCCGGAAGGCGGGGGCCGGGGCTCCGACGCCCGTGTCCCAAAGGGCTCCGGAGGATGGCTGGGACTCCTAGGTCCCTGGGGAGGGTATACTGGGCAAGGTGATCGGTGCCAGGCCTTTTGGGAGGGGGCTGGGCTGCCGGGATCCGCGGTGGCGATGGGGTGAGTCTGATTGTCAATGGGATCGGACTGGTCCGTGCATCCCTGGCAGACACAGGATGCTTTCTAAGGGCTCCCAAGGCTGGGGAAGGAGTGTGCGAGTCTTGGGTGAGGGTTTGACGCGGTGGAGGTTGAGGAGGGGAAGGGGGGGCGTCTGTAGAGTTTCAACACTCTGATCTCCTAAGGGCTGCAGAATTCTGCGTCTTGGGAGAGTACGAACCACTGAGCAGCAACTGGCCATGCAATCTATCCATCCATTCACATACTTGCCCCTTCTTCCCTATCCCCTCCCTTTCCCCCCCCGTGCGTGCCTCGGTTTCCCCCTCCTCACCAGGTTCGGATGCGCTCACCTTTCCGGATGCGGGACCCTCGGGGAATCGGGGGTGGCAGCGTGGGGGCCAGGCAAGGGAGGCAGCGCGAGCGCGTGTCTGCCAGCCAGCGGGGCTGGGCGCGCGCGCGCCGATGGGGGTGGGGGCGGCAGGCAGCGTGGCGGGGACCCTGGCCGGCAGCTCTTTCTCTCGTGTGCAGATGCGCACCGGCCCCAGTGCAGATGTGGCCGCCGCCGGGCGCCCGCGCCGGTGTCTCGCGCCGGCTTGGAGCTCCGAAGAGGCGCCGCCTCCCCCACCCCACTTGCAGGAGACCCCACTTTCTTCCTCCCACAGACCCCTGTAGCCCCTGCGAGGCCCCCCCAAACCCAATAATGGTTCGGTCCTCATCCACATCAATGTTTATTCTCTGAGACCGGGTCCCAGTGGTGACATTCCTTCCCCCTCCTTTTCCCGCTCCGTGAAGTGGCCCGGGGCCCAGCCCCGCCTCCACCTTTCCCTCAGCCAATTCCCACCCAGCACCGGGGGCCTCATTTGCATTTCCGGGACCAGCTGCCCAATCAGAAGGCAAGACCACGCCTCCTCTCCCACGGGGGTGGCTCTCCTGGCGGACTGCACCACTCTTGGGATCCATGGATGAAGGAAGAGGCATCCATCAACGTCTGGGTGACGAGGAGGGTGGGTCCTTCCTTCAAGTCAGGGCCTGGAGTTCAGCAACAGGGGGTTGCTCTTGCCTTGGAAGAAGCTTAGCAGTCCCATGTCTGGGACTGGCTCCTTAATGATCTTCTGGATCTGCAGGCAGAGGAGGTCAAGAAGTCAAGGGCCGGCCCCCATGGCATCTCCACGATATCGAATCTGAGGAGCACCCCTTCATCTTCATCTCCCTTATTATTCTGACAGCATCATTCATCCAGTCAACCACTTAACAGTCTTCTCGGTGGCCTCTTCCTCCCTCACACTCGCCTGGCTGAGCTACACCCCATCGCCTATGTTGGGCTGCTCGGTTGCCTTGGACCACTGATGACGGATGGCTCTGTCTTAGGGCCTCTTGCCTACACCTTCCCTTCTTCACTCATCTTTCCCGTCATTCCTTTAAGCCTTCGGCTCCCACACAGGTCCAGACTGTGACCATGAACTCTCAACTCATTCACACAAGTCCCTCTTGGTTGAACACGAGTAACTAACCACATTACCTTCATCAGTTCATCTCCAGACAACTAAACCAAAACAAAAAAAAAACCCACAAATCCCTCAATCTCCACTGCCTCTTCCCAGTTAAGTCCCACAGCTGATCGAAGGATGTGCAAAGGTCAGTCTCCTTTCTGTCCTAGGCCACCTAATGAAATCCCTTGGCTATTCTATAAGGTACCAATTCGATGGTGGCCAGCTCCCACTTTTTCCTTTTTCTTTTAAATAAAGCATAGTTGAAGCATAGTTGAAATGTATTAGGATACTTTTAGACTAGATCTTGGGAACAAGGAGAGGTGGTTGGGTTTGTTTGTTTGTTTGTTTTTTTCCTCTTGCCTGCAGCTCCAGTAGCCCCTGGGATTTCCTGGTAGGAAGAAGATAAACCCCAAAGCATGCGTGTGGTCGTCTCTAAGAGGGAGCTGACTCACTCCTACCCTAAGCACTCTTGGGCTCTATGGACGAGGCAAACACTTTCCCCGATGGGTTTTCTTTACTTCCTGTTGATGTTGGTGTTGCTGGAATAGAACCCAGGGCCTTACCAATGTCAGATAGCTATTCCACAGGAGCAACATCCACAGACTGCCCAGGGGCACCACGATGGCTGGGCTACTGCTAAACCCTGAACCTTTCCTAAGACACGGCTCCCGTCTCCCTCTCCTCCCCAGCCTGCCAGCACTGGCCACACTCGGCTACACACAATTCTTGGAATAAGGCAAACTCAGCCCCAGCTCCCGGCCTTGGCTCCAGCTACTTCTTGGAACAGTCTCCTGGTCTCGTGTTCAAGGCTGCCTACACTGCTCAAACCTACTATGTAGCCAAGGATGACTCTCCTGTCTCAAGAGTGCCACAGTGCCACCTACAACAGGGGGTGGGGGAGGCAGAGGCAGGCAGATCCCCATGAGGATAGCCTGGTCTCCATATTAGGTTCCAAAGGCCAGCCAGCACTACACATTAAGGCCCTGTCTCAAAAAACAAAGTAACAAAAAAGGGATGGGACCATAGGCATGCAGTTTGTGGAGTACTGGGTAATCAAGCCTAGGCCTTCCTGAATGCTAGCTAAGCATCCTCCTACTGAGCTATATCTCTGGATTGATATTGTGTGTGTGTGTGTGTGTGTGTGTGTGTGTGTGTGTGTGTGTGTGTGTGTGTGCATGGAGGCCGGGATATGAAGTCATATCTTTTTCTTTTT